GGGGGGGGGGGGGTGATCGATAAATGCTGCGAGGATTGCATATACGGTATGCTGCGATAATCGATGCCGAGCGTCGAAGTCTCTGTCGCCTCGCCGAAGCCGACGAACGCTCGCTCGGGCAATGCTCAGCATGCAGGAGACGAAAGGGGTGGCCGAGCAGCCGCAAGAAGAGGTTCAACTGACCGAACTGCTGCCGGTGAAGCAGTCCCGCATCAGGGAGAACAAGGATGTGGACGCGACCGACGCTCTGAGGGCGCTCCGAAGTTTGTCGAGCGACGACAAGAGCGAAGGCTTCGGCCTGTTCAACTTCTGCAAGAACGTCGAGTCGGAACGTCCGCATCGACGAGCCCAGAAGAGAACGAACGAGTCGAAGGACGGGGAGGAGGAGAAGGACGCCAAGAGGAGGAAGAAGAAAGCTCCGAAGAGGAGAGGATCGAGGAAGAGGAAGGACGAGAACAGAGGAGAAAGCGACTCGAGTGAGTGCCTGAAGGCTCCCTTCGACGACGACGACGAATTCGGCGAAGAGAAGGGGCTCTACACGGGCAAGAAAGATTGCTTCAAGGACGAAGTTTACGTGTACAGACAGGAACCGTTGAATCCCGGGAAGGGACCAATCAATCGTAAGCAGGCCACCTTCAGCGACCACCAGCCCACTACGGACGGAGACTTGTTCGATAAAGCTGTTCATCGGAAGGACAACGCGAGGAAGAGGGCCGATGACTTCGCCGAGAAGGAGCTCAGACAGAAGATCGACGCGATCATCCAGGCGAATTACCTGCTGGAGCGCGAGAACAACAACGTGGCGGCGGAAAGCAGCTCCCCGCTCACCGCGATGAAGCTGAAGATGGATCAGATCCAAGCGAAGGACTCCGACTCCTCCCGGCAGCCGAGTCCGCTGAAGAAGTACCGCTGCGTCGTGTGCGACGCGCGCTTCAAAGGCAGCGGCGGCCTCCGCAACCACTACAAGGTGCTGCACACCACCGGGCCGGCGTACAAGTGCGACGAGTGCGGCAAGGAGTTCCCGCTGAAGGAACGGCTGAAGCTGCACGTGCGCACGCACACCGGCTTCAAGCCGTACAAGTGTCCGGAGTGCGACAAGAGCTTCGCACGGGGCGGCCAACTGGTGCAACACCGGCGCACCCACAGCCAGGTGAAGCCGTTCCGCTGCGGCCTCTGCTCCAACAGCTTCACGTGCGCGGCCAACCTCTCGCTGCACGTGAAACGGCACAACGGCCAGAAGGATCACAAGTGCGAGCTGTGCGGCCGCGCCTTCGTGCGCCGGGACGCCCTGAAGAAGCACCTCGAGTGCCTGCACCGCGACGTCAAGTCCTTCGTATGCGCGATCTGCAACAAGACCTTCAAGGGCCACCTGCCGCAGCACATGAGGACGCACGCGCGCGACCGTCCCCACGGCTGCGCCACGTGCGGCCAGCGTTTCGCCCAGAAGTCCCAGCTCACCGTCCACCAGAGGACCCACTCCGGCCAGCGGCCGTTCCGCTGCCTCGTCTGTTGGCAGGCCTTCGCCCACTCCACCGCCCTGAAGCTCCACACGCGCCGGCACACCGGCGAACGTCCGTTCAAGTGCAACCTCTGCAACGTCGGCTTCACCCAGCTGCCGCACTGGAAGAAGCACATGAAGTGCATACACGGCCTGCACGACCCGTACGGCTGCAGGCGCTGCGACAGCTTCTTCAGGATCAAGAGCGAGCTGGAGTATCATGAGAAAACCTGTCACCCGGAGACGGAGGAGCCCGAGACGGACGGCGACGGCGACGGCGCCTCGACCGAACTTCTCGAGAAACACTCGGTCGTCGCCAAGTACAAGCTGATGACGGTGGAGAAGATGAGGCTGCTGCTGGCGGTGCTGCTGCAGAGGATCAGCAAGCAGGAGAAGCTGAACGAGCTCGGCTTCGGCAAGCGGCTGATCGACGACGTTCTCGAGGACTCGTTGGTGTCCGCCGGCAAGGAGCCGGTCACGAGCAGCGACGGCCTGTCCGAGCTCGAGGTGCTCACTCGGAACTTGGAGATTTTCCTCGAGTGGACGATGCCCAAGGAGCACTGGGAGAACTTCCGTAGGATGAAGAAAACGCCGGAGGAAATCCTGGAAGCACTCACCGACTCACCGACCGAATAAGCGCGTTTGTTCGCAGTAAGTCTCACGAAGGAAGCAAGCGCCTCAAGGTGAACGACAAAGGTGTATCGAGTCGATCATTTACAACTCGACTTGCTCCCTTTTGCAGATTCACTCCGATTTTCATCCTTTCCATTGCTCTGCTCTTTTTAGAACTGAACTGGCTGCGCTACTTCGAGAAGCGTGCGTGCGTACGTACGTGCTTCTTCAACTGCGGCCAGCTCGGCTAAAAAGATGTCGTTTCTCTCCTACTCGCACGGAGCGAACGAATTTTGCTAATTGTTCGTTAATATTGTGACAACAAAAAGATTTGTTACGTGGACATTTTTGGACTGGTTGTTGTACAACAAAACGCAATCCAATTATTTTGCTCTATCCAGGTGATGTAAAATACATCCAGCAATTAATCTTTCCGCTGTGGAAATGAATTTCTTCTTGCCGTCACTATATTGACGAACCTTTGTTATTCTAGCAAAATTTCTTCCTGCGTGGCGTACAGACACGATCTCTCTACACATCCGCTATTCTTGATTACGATAATAATTACAAAGAGGCTAACAACGATTGTCACATGAGAAGGATGTCTTCGTTTGAGGGCGGATCGCTTCTAATCACATGGGAGAGGAGCGATCGAGCGATAGATAAATCTCACTGTTAGCGTCTCACCATTAGCGCGCGTCCGTAGTCTCTCATGTAGGATACTTCGGTTTTCCTTTTCTTTCTTCTCTTTCACCACCTTTTTCAACCTGGAGAATGCGTAACCCGTGCGTTTTCCGTGTGATATTTAATCTATGTTAATTAACGAACGTTAAGTAATGTCCCGAGGTGCCATGTGTCATAATACTTGCCATACTAAACCAGTGAGTGTGCCGTGTATCGTTCAGAGGCTAATCGCGAGTTCTCGGTTTACTTATAAGCGAGCGAATTTAACGGGGGGGNGGGGGGGGGGGCGACGAATATTGCCGAATTAATCGTCGACCGAAACGCGTCTCCGGGAAGCGAAGTGCCGCGCGATTTTACACGGCGGCGACTGAGATAGAGTTTAGACGTTCTCTTGCCCTATTTGTTAATATACATGTGCGCGCGCGCGCGCACACACACACACATACGATGCACACACTAGTAGAAAGTACGAGTACACGAAGGAAATCGTTTTGCACCGCATCTTATCCTTAATCGTAAGCACGACTGCTCGCGTCAAGCGTATACCAAAAAGAAAAAAAAAAGAACAGACAAAAACGAGGCTACCACGGAGTCATTCGCAATTACGTTCTTTCACTCGCGCAATCGTTATATTATCCTATATATTTATACAAATATACAACACACACATATATTTACAAATTGAATATTATGAGATTCTATTATGTGTTCATAGACACACACACATACACACACACACACACACGGGCGCGCCTGTAATGGAACTTTCGACACCGCGTCATCGGTACACGTGCACGCGTTCCCGTTTGTAGTTGACACTATTATTCGTTATTTATCTGTCTTTACGTGCGTCGAAGCGTAATTAACGATACGGTTAGATTGCCGGGCGAGCGCGCGATCGCGTCATTTTTAAATAGTCCTAAGTAAATGTGAGCAGACAATAATGAACGAGAAGGTTGCAAAAGAGAGAGAGAGAGAGATTAGGGTTAATATATTAATCATTGAGGAGATAGATATATATATATTATACATATATTATATCCATATACACACACACACACACACACACACACACACACATATACATATATTATGTATGTATGATATTACGCGATGTTACTGATGGTAACGCGAGAGAAAAGGAACATGATTACATTTCTTGCCTGGATTTTGGAAAGAAATCTTGGAAGAGTGACTTGCGCGAAGATACATCGTTGACATCAAAATGGTGGTTCATATTTAATACGAATAATTCTTTTCATTTTTACAATACAAGTAATTTGTTCCTGCGGACGGAAGACATGTCGCTCAGGAAGGAAAAAAGTCTTTCCTCTTACGCACAAAATCAAAATCGACTCGGCATTCGTATAATCGAGCGACACTGTCTCGTGTTTAACGCAAAGTTCCTTTCCTCGACCTACCATTGGGAAATTTCTCGATCGTGCATGCGGATGAAAATACCAAAAATACTGCGGTCAGAGATGCTGTTGGTCTTTCGTTCGCGAGACTGAGTGAGTGGAGGTATCGCTGGAGAGAAGAACGATTTGTTTTCAGTTCCTTTTATTTGCAATACGCAGAGTACGATCGAGGTGTGCTATCGGATCCAAAGACTTTGTTACTTTCGTTGCCAAATATATCGCGTACCGTTATGTTTATGATATATATCGGGTTATATGCTTGACGAGTTCGTAGGGAAATTTTTACGGAAAGCTCAGGCCCAGTCGAAATTTTGGCCCTAAGAATTAAATCTTTAATTCTACAATATAATAGGAATTAAAATAGCAAAATAGATTTAATTTCAATTCTAATAATATAATCCCTATTTTGAGCCTGATGGTTTAATTTATCTTAAATTTCCATTTTCACTTTTTCATCGTCAAAATTAGTTGTTAAAGGTAGCATTAAAATTCAATCTGTAAGTGAAGAAAAATATTTCGTTGACAGCGAATTGTTAATTACACTGAGAAGAAGAAATTGAAATTTTGCCAAATTATTGTTCCATGTAACATTTTCTTCGATATTTATTGGTTAGAAAAAAAATATTTGACTGTGATGACGGAACGTATATTTTTGTATACCTAAGTGTTCTTATTAATTAGTTTATTTGCTAGGGATAAAATTTTATTTCGCCATATTTAAACGTTTATTTCTGTGAAATAAACCTTATATCTCATTTAAATAAATCTCTAAGTCTTTTTTCTCGTGTGCCATAGAGACAATTTGGACAGCAAAAAAATGTATTAAGATTATTAATTACTATTTTTCTGGACATATAGACAGCAAAATAATTTGGCTATGCGCTAACTAAATTTGATCGTTAAAACGATTTTGCTACGCAACGGCAAAATTATTTTTTCCGTGTAATAAATCTATTTGTTGTCCCCGTAGTAACTGACAATTTGCTGTGTCAGCAAAATTACTTCTTTTCCCGTGTAGAATTAAAGAGAAAAGTTAAAAAAATCAGTCAGTATCGTCAAAGTAGATTCTTATTAGTCTGTAAGAGCCATCATCTAAGTCTAAGGTGCAAACTAAGAGAGTGGCGTCAAAATTTCGACTCAGGAAAGCCGATTGTCTCCCATTGTCACCAGGCAGCTTTTCGTTTTTTTTTTCTTTTTTCGATAACTTCCTGTCATAAAAAAACGGCTGATGTATTATTGAATAAAGTTACGGCCGGCTGTAAAAATATCAACTTTAAATCCTTCGCGAAAATCCCCACGAACTTATTCGCCAATAATTTCCATGTTCTTATTACTAGCACAGGTATCGAGAGAGTGAGAAGTACATTTCGCGTGCGTCGTTTATTACACGAGAGAACAGAAGGAAGAAGAGGCCGCGTTTGCGAGCGCGCGTGCCTTATGCGTTAACATGAACGAGGCATACGACGCACGCGGTGACTTATCGTTTTAACATTTATTCAGAAGATCGAAATCTACTCGCTTCGACCGGCGCTTGCAAATGAGGGTCGGAGTGCATTTTGAATATAGATCGAGGTCGAAAAGGTGAGTTGCGCCTCGCACGGCCATTGGGGGAAACTGCGTCTTCCTACTTCGACCAAGTCGACTTAGCATATTTCAGTGGTTTTCAGTTACGGTACCAAAAGCGAATAAAAAGCTACGTGGTTACCTCCGTGAATTTTGTTATTCCTCTCTCGCGTTTTTCCTTCTTTTTTCTTGCTCGATATCGCGGAAGATATTTCGATCGTTTTCTCCTGTGCCTGTACATTCGGTACAACAGCGGTCGTAGTACTATTTATTGTTTTTCCTCTCTTTAGTGCCATAAACTCAGGCATATATTTGTACATTAATATATTGTAAAGACGAGAAGATTTGAATAAACACGTTTCTTTATTCGCTCGTCTCCGTTTGTCAAACCCCATCTCGTTTATTCCCACGAGTGAAAATTTGTCAATCATATCGCCCGGTAATACTATTTATACATAAACTATATCACATTATAGCAAGCACCGGTGCATATTGTAGCAAGCAGATCTTTACATCACATTGATTATGACAAGATTTACGTTAAAAGTTCGAATCAGTGTGACTTAACAACGTTGTCCGAACAGAGGTTCTGTTATTCTGTGATTTGGCACTGGTCAGAATTCCAACGAGTCCTATCTATATTAGAAGTTTTCCTAGAGGATTCAAAATCTCTGTTTGTTAGGTCTCTTCAACCTTTTAAAGCGAATGTTCCTTGAGTCGAGTAGTTTTGAGACCAAGTCATTGGGAGTGCTCAGTAAGACATATTTTACCCTGTATTTAATTATCTCTGATCTGTGTTGATTTTCAGATCTTCATAGATACATTTATTACTGATATAGTAGGGAATATTAAGTATGATACGTAATGTTCGGAAGCGTTCAATAATGTCCGTTCAATAATGTACTTTCTTTGGCAGTTCCCCAAAGTTGGATCCCGTACGGTTTCACAGAAATGTCGTGTAAGTCCAAGTAAATACGAACGGTTGCTTCATGTCCACTTGGAAATCATAGATACTCAAATTCTAAAATAATTCAATCACATGTTCCAACGTGCGCGTGTGAAAAAATTGTCGTTTTCACTAATAGAAAATTCTCCATCGTAGTTTAACTTATAAATCGACATTCAACGGCATGCTTACCTTCGTGTCGAAATTGTACGCGAATCTGACGGGATTGTCGTTTAAGCGAACCATTACGACCGGAGCTATTCCCAAGATCTCGACTCTGCCAAGAGTCACTTCGTCGTTGAAAATGCCGTCCATTCTCGCGCTTAGTAACTTCGATACATTTGAGAACGCATTGAAAGACAACCACAGATACTCGTTCTTTTCGATGGAATCTGTGGATTTTGATGAAGGAAGGACGTCGCAAGATCACAAGAGTGCAATACGACAAGTTACCCACCTAGACTATCACCATCGTCCCAATAGAGTTCTCCTTCGGCGTAACCGGCTTCGTTCAGAGCCACCAATAATTCAAAATCGTTCTTCCTGCTCTCGGTCGTAGTCGCAGCCGGCTTCTGTGCTGGGAGTATCGAGCCGCCGCGAATCAATAGCGGTATTTCAGTGAGCAACACGGGCAGCGTGAAGTGCTTCCCAATGGAGAAGAAGGACGCGAGGGTGTAATAATCATACCACAATCCGCGTGGGATGTAAACGGTTATATTATCTGCGTCCTGTAAGAACATAAATGACGATTAGGATAATAATATCGAAGGATTTCTCTGATAAAACAATCGAGTAGCCGTACCTCTTCGAGAACTGGATTAATCATGAGCGAACTTCCCCAGAGAAACTGCGTATCAACGTCGTAAGTCTGCGTATCGTAGGTGAACCTACACGCGAATGCAATAAGTGTGTGATAAAATTCGATCGTGTACCCACACGATAGATACAGGGTTTTCCATTAAGAGGTTTCATTTTTTATTTCGCGCCATTTCTAACTTGTTAATAATAGAACTGTCATTCCTTGACGGCTGACAAGTAAAACGGTGGAACGAAAGTGGAACGTACAGAAATTGTGAGAATTCGCTACAAAAGTGGTGAAAATTTCGCAAAGTTCGTGAACTGCTACGAACGATGTTTATTTCCGGCGGGACGGCGCAACGATCGCGTTATTGCGTGAAAACTTTCCATCATAGTCCGTTGGACTATTTTCTTCGAGGCTGTGTGAAGGATAAGATCAATCCTCCGCAAACGATTCAAAAGCTCAATATCAAAAGTGTTATTCGCAAAATCGATCCGCAATTGTGCGAAAACGTGACGCGAGATTAAAAAAAAAAAAAAGTGGCCATATGTAAAAAAAAAAAAGCCGAAGCGACCATTTATCAGATACCACACTTGATCGGACAGTCTGTGCTTTGCATTGGAATATCACCGCTTTAAAATAAAATTCCATTTTTCTAAACATTTAAAATGAAATCTCTTAATGGAAAACTCTGTATGATGGAACTCGTTGAAAATGTTGCATACGCGACGTTACAGCAATCGATACGTACTCAAAGAATAACGGGCGCACCACCGTGTCGCCAAACAGATGAGCTTTGAAGAACAACGTATATAAATACGGTAAGAACCGGTAACGTATCTTGAAAGCATTCCTCGAGGATTGTACAACCAAATCGCCCAAAGCGACTGGATCCTGTTCCTGTGCGTAATATATATTTACACGTTGTATTTCGGTGACCGTGCATACATTTCGTTGTTAATCCCTTAACTGACGGAAACACAATACGGCGTTTTGATATTGTTGGTAGTTCGATATTTCTAAAATTGGATATTCCAAGGTTTTCGGGGTCGTTCTGTTCAATAGTCAGTTTCAAAATTCAAGATGGATGTGATACGGCAGTTTTGTCATAATCAAACAAAATAACGCTTATACGGGTATCATGTTAGATGCGCCATTTTTTAAATTAACATTTTTGAAGTTATTAATTCGCAACGAACAACTCAAAAATACATTAGATATACAAACAACTTACAAAAGATGTCCAGTTTCATTTTGACGAATAAAATCGTGATTTTAGTCGCCATATTGGACCCACCATTTTGAATTTGAAGAAATCCGACTTGATATTCGCAAACAGTAACCTCAAGATAAACCCCTAAATATAAAATTTTAATAATATTTCTTAATTTTTGAAAATCCATTTTTTGCTGGTTTCAGTATTTTTGCAAAATTCAACTTAATAGTCAACGACAAAGAGTTAATTGACGTATAGACACTCACGATCGTATCATCGGAATTGTGATTTCGAGAGAACGGATAAAAGGCGCCAAGCTGCATCCAACGGTTGCACAGCGCAGCGGTTGTGTTGCCATTGAATCCGCAAATATCAGCGCCTACCATGGGGATTTGGTAGAAATTTACCGATAAGATTGCTGGAATGCTCATCTTCATATCGTGCCTGATGAAACAATTTCTCAGAATGAGTAGAAATGAAGAGATCACAATGATATATGATAAAAATATAAAATCAATAAATAAGGTACGCAATTATAAAAAAAAAAAACTACAACAATAAGAACCAACGCAGGTAATTGATTACAGAAAGTAATTTTTAATAAATGCCTTCCAATTTGCGCGGAAGAGATCATGAAATATAAACATTTCGGTCTGAATTTAGAAAAAGATCAATCTAAAAGATCTAAGGTCTAAAAGATCAAGATCTAAATTCAAATTAAAACGTTAATATTTTTACAGCGTTTATATCTATTTAAAATTACTCTCGACAACCATCTCCAATGGCTCTTATGGACCTAGTTTTTCATGATCGCATAAAATTATATATATATATATATATATCTATATATAATCTAAACTCCTCTCTTATACTCACCATGACGAATAAACGTCGCCCGTCCAGTGGCCGGCATAACGACCGTGTCCCACCCACGTCGAGCGCGATATTATAAACGGTCTCTTCTGTCTGATTTTACTGAGGGCACTGCGTGTGGTTTTAGAAAACAAACGTATCTCAAACAAGTTCTTTGGGACAGTTTGAACAGATTTTGTAACAGACAGCAGTGTCGATTTCTACTTACTAATTCGTGACAATCGCTTGACTCGTCCCGTAAGTATTGTGGAGATCGTAGTGAGTGCCTAAATAGTGTTTTGCATTCATACACAGAGTCTTCGCGGCGAGCAAACCACCGACGACGTTGGGTAGGTATTCAGGGTAATCCAGAAATGTGCACGGGCAACCGTCTTCGTGACCGTTGTAGAAATTGGATGGCTCGTTCATATCCTTGGTGCAATCGGAATATTTAAGTGGAAGAGAAGGAGAGAGAAAGAGAGAGAGAGAGAGAGAGAGAAACCATTATTAAAAAATTATACAGGGTGTCCCATCGTACAAAAATTCTCGAAAGAATCCATCTCATCGTGGTAGCACCCTTATAACCGTTCGTGTTGCCATACCTGAGCGTGGAAAATGTCAGTTGTACGATTAGACAACTTTGGTCGCTAAGACTCCGGAGTAGCCAGCTAAGAACTTCGTGTTGACAGTGGCGACACAGTTCAAAAGAATGAATCGATAGAGCGCTGCAAACGCTTCGAAAAATTTGTAGCGCTCGCTAAACCGCACTCGTATGCATGAAGAGCGGCGTATTGACAACGAAATTTTGTGTCGCGCACCATTTCTTTATTACTCGCTCAATTATGCAGGTGTGACACGCTTGTTAAACTCGTAAAAATGGACGAAAACCGAGATCAGCTTGGAATTTTATATGTGGAGTATGTTTTCCACCTCCTTTCAACAGTTGTGTGTTTTCCTATATGAATAAGGTTTCTAATCTCACGCACCTCTTACGGCTATTTATTGACTATCAGGAGGGGGAACGAAGAGTTTTCGTCCACTTTCACAAGTGTCTTCGAGCGATCTCAAAAGTGTTGTTTTATCCAAATGTCTTTTTATCTGCAAATGGCACGCAATATTTCTCAACGTGTCTTTTCTCGCCTATGACGTCATGAATCTAATATGGCAACTACTCCAGAGCCATACAAATTATTGTAGCCTCGCCAATTTCATACTTGAACTTTCGTTCTTGGAATGTCCCAAAGAATCTGTCAAGGATATACGGTGGTGATTCTGAGACACCCTGTATACATGCAATTACACAAGATGTGAAGGACCAATTGTTCGAATTAATCGAGACTTACGATCCATGCACCATCATACGCGAAGCTATCGTGCATATTGCTCATCATGTCTGTATAATAATCGATCGTTTTCGGATTTGTGAAATCAGGCCACACCGTAGAAATGAGATTCCAGACCTTGCCGGTGAAAGGTTCGTTCGACATACCGTCTTTTATGAATATGTCCTGTTTTATACCTTCATCATACGGGAGATAAGAGCCATTGTCCTCGGAAGCAGATATTCCGGCATCGATCAGGGGAATATAACGCATTCCAGCCTGCAAATGAAAAAGCCAATATATATCTTTGTTGCTTACAGATCTCGCGTATTCTTTTTCTGAATATATATTTTACCGAGTGAATCTCTTCCACAAATTTCGGCAAATCCTTGAACGTGTCCTTATTGTAAGTGAAATCGTTATTTTTATCCATATAGTCCAAATCGTTCCATTGAATGTCCTGTTGACGACACAATATGGTTAAAACAAACTTACAGTCGCTCGTATGTCAAAATGTTTCACAAATGATATGAGAAGAAATGTTACAAATGGGATTCCAGCTGCTCTTGTTCGGTTCCATACTGCTTTGGTGTTTTCTAAGTCTCCATATCCATATCTGGTAATGTATAAACAGTATTATATAATATTATTGCGTGTACTAATATTGAATTTTATAGTATCTTACCTGCATAAGTGAAAGCCAAGCGACCAATAAGGCGGCATGAACGGTTTGCCCACGATTTCAGAATACTGTCTTACAACATCTGCCGGAGTAGGCCCCAAGAAGAAATAAATATCAAAAATGCCACCGATTGTCCTGAACGTTAGAGCTGGTGTAGGCTGCAATATTACGTCTGATACGAGATACGAGATAAACGATTTACTTCAAACGTAACAATGTTATGTCGCACGTACTGAACGAAAATAACATACCCATAGCATTACTGTTTAAAAATAAAACTCCATGAGCCATACCAGAATCTTCAACGACAATGTAAAACGGATGAGATCCGTACAAATTTGCCTAATCAAAAGAATGGAGAAAAAAATTACACACACAGAGAGAGAGAGAGAGGGATTCATTTTAATCTTAAGTTTGCAATAGAGTTTTAAGCCTTAAAGCATTTATTATATACTAGGACTAACAGGCAAATATTTTGAAAAATATGGAAGCCTGTGTAAGATGAATCATCCTGCTGTGGTGTGTGTGTGTGTATGTGTGTTACGTTATTCGTTACATATACAATGGCATCATATTCGTGTGCGATTGATGACACAAAATAACTTACATTTTCTGTTGGTGGTTGATCTTTGTTGAACAATGTAAATGACTGCCATTTAGTATTTAACTTTAAGCTCGATTCATGCTCACCAATGCCGTAAATGTTGGTTGTGGGAAGCAATGTACTTATTTGCAAAAACTGATCGGAAAAGATAAAACCTCCGATTCCAATGGAATTGAACCTACATATAGAATGTAAATAATCCAAATAATAAGCTCATAGCTGTAATGATATGCTGAAAAACTAACATTCCTGAATTTGGAGCTTTAAAGAAAGATTTTATATTTAAATATAATAGTATACTTACAATGTTGTGCCATCGCTAACTCTATTAATTGTAAAACCAGGTCTCACATTATCACTCTTAAATTGATACTTTACGTCAGCGATCTGAGATAAGAACGGTTTTGTGTCTGATCTAATCGGCCATGGTGGTTCATATCGCGCCTTCAAAGGATCATACATCTGAAAATTACATTGTATATATTACATTTTCTTATTATTAAATATAATTATAAATTAGTACTATTATACAAATTATTTTCTTTTTCTATTTCTTATATAATAACACAGAATATCTTCATCATATACTTATGCAAGTAATATATATATATATATATACATGTGTGTGTGTGTATGTATGTATGTTTATTTATTTATTTGTTGTACCTTCACACGTAAAATTGAACTGTCTACACCAGTAGCTTCTATCTTCACAAGAGACACATCATCCTTGTACGCAGATCTACACTTTTGCTCAAGAAAGCCTGAGAAACCATTGTCATCTCGACTATAATTAATAAATTTATACAAGTTCCACTTTTCAGGATAATAACAATATGGAACATTCAGCGGCACATGTTCTGTCGTTTTAAACTTGTCAAGGGGTTTCCAACAACATCCTCTATTTGCGCAAGAAAGTTCCGATGCACCATCCTCTGGATGACAATCGAAACGCAGTATTTCAGGGATATTATCACACTGTTAAGAACACACAAATAATATAAGCATTAATGATACGTTATCTATGCATTCTTCTTAATACAGAAAAATTATACTTTGCTTACTACTTCACAGATAAAAGCTGTATTTTTTCCAGTTGAATTATCTACTTCTTTTAAAACGATTTCCTCATAATCGTATTCATCCTCAATATATATGTCTGAATGATCTACATGTAATATATGCTGACTTATGCTGCCAGCCAGTGATAATATGAACATCAATGAAAAAATTATGAAACCAGAGCCAAGGCAGAACCATATTATTCCTCGCTTTATGCAAATATGTTTATTGGCGTTATTAAATTCTCTTTGATTATAATTTTGGCTTGCCAATGACTTGTAAATTTTATTTAACTTTATATTTACTTTATTACCAATTTTCATCATATCTTTTAAAGGTTCAGCTTCCATTGTTATGGTATGATGCATTGATTTTTCATGGATATTATGTTTGCTTACTGTTACTTGTGCCATTTTCAACTATAAATTAAAGCGTTAGTATTTAACTGCTGCAATCCTTAAATGATTATATCTGAAAGAATATTATATGAGAAGTATATTAAAATATCACATAATCCACAGTAATCCATATAATTAATATAATTTAGCTATTAATATAATGATAATAAAAAAACAGATGAAGATACAAGAATAACTTGAATTTTATATGAAATATTTTCCTACATAACAATGGTCCTATATAATATTTCCATATCTTTGTGACAAATGTATATTTCAGCTTGACAATGTATGTACCTTATCTTAAACAAGAGAAACATTTTGTAACTATTCTTGTAACTATTCTTGAACGCAACATTAAATCAAAATATACAGACTCTTAGAATCTCTTTTACATCCAATGATATGATGTCCACAAATATATGTCAGTCTTCTATTAACAATACAACATAATATCTCAATTTTTTACAGCACTAAATTGCAGAATTATCTTTGAACAAAGGATCCTCACACGAGTCACATCCGCACACACTCTTCTTATCATAATATTATCATTACCTTTTTATCGCCACAGTTACAGCTCGTTGAACGTTGTCCATTTTTTCATGATTGAAAAGAATAATTGTTCAAGCATGAAAGTATATTTGACTGGTCGTTGAGACGTATGTATCACGTAAAGATATAAAAAGTCTTGTTGGGTGAATCGAAGAAATTGAAAATAGTGAAATTACGCGTCTCACTCGTCGTTGAGTCGTATTACGTGCTCAACTCCTCCTTGAAAGCAAGTGGCGACTCGTAACGGAGACAATCGTATTACATGTTAATCAATACATTGAACTAGAGAACATACTGGAATGAGCATTGCCTTTGTTTCTAGCAGATAACCTCGCGCCGAAAGAGAAAATATCTAAGTAATATTTGTCTATTTGTGTCCGTCTTATCTGTGTAAACTATATAGCATGTTAGTAAGATAAAGAGCGAGATATTATTTAGACGTCGCCACGCCCATTCCAATATATTCTTTTTATTTCAATGAATCAATAATAATCAATTTATTAAACTCGGCTAATATAAAGCCCGTATCATACCAATCTTATACGAGAAATTGACCAATCACAATCGAATTATAGAAGAAAGGTCAATATCTTACGTTTTTAAATTCTCTTGTAGACCCGCTTTCCGCCCGATTGAATTGAAATTTGACCAATCAGTGTAAAATTCACTAAATTTCACTAAATCTGAGTTCAGTTAACTTTATACTGGTTGGCCAAATTCATTTCAATCCCCAATCCGTAGTTTGACACGAGTTCTAGAGACTTTCTTAGCCGTTAGAGATTTTCAGGGAATGTTTTAGGGGAATATTTCGAGCAGCTATCTGAGCAGCACTGTTTTAGACGCAAAGTATCTCGGGAAGGAACGCGCTGATGGTGAAATAATCTCGTTTTATCCAGGTTTATTGGATATTCTTTTGGCGATTTTGCTAAAGATTGATATAATGTACAAACGATTGAGTTTAAATTAACCTTGGTGACCGTGGACGTTGAAAGGTAAGCGAAGAAGATTTCGACACGTTAACGATCGAATTATATCGCTTCAGTCTAACCTACATTTCGTTTGTTAGCTTGACCTCAAATGCACAAACTAGGATTAGTTTTGACGAGTCCGTACGTTTTAAACCAGCGTCAGTATGTTCGTTCTTAGTTACTTATCGATGAACTGTTGCTTGTCACGGGAATAATTCTCACGGAACATATAATTGTAAAATCAACCGTGACGCCTGTCTCTGGGAAATTTCAAGACAATGGTTACTATGCGTACGAGCTTGTTCACTGAAATATGACAATAACTTGAGCTGAAACATTGATTTTTTGCAAAGCAACCAATATGCACATATTGTTCGTAAAATTTGCCCGAATGGTTTTTACTCGAGTACGCAAAAATCGATAGTGCAAAGATGTTCTTAATAAGTTAAATAATATCTTTATTCATCGGTGGCTTCCATTCAGGCTGCTTATCTCTTTGAATGATTTGATAAATATTGTAGGAAGAAATGGATGAAGCAATACAACATTTTAATTTCAGGTTCGTACTAAAAGCGACCAAAGCTCAACGCGCCCATAAGAGCCTCCCTGTCCCCGCGCCTTACGTGGCTTACGTGGCTCACGTGCGCTGGGCCAGGCCTACTACGCCAGACCGGTGAGTTCCCACACAAAATATCGCTTGGTAGCACGGTGGGCACTCAAAGCCAACTAACCATGTCTGTACAAAGTGTTGCTCTGGCATCTCTCACGGCCACCTATACCGACTCGGAGGGCGAGGACGGGGTGGAAGACGAGCGCCTGCAGGAGGAGAATTCGAACACTCCCCAGGGGGCCGCCCCGCATAATGCCCAAGTCGGTTGTCAGCCCCAGGCCCGATCCATCAGTCCCATATCTGGCCGTTCAGCCTCGCACAGTCCCGTCGTCGGCAAGTTCGGTAGTAGCGACTTGCCGGACGCGAGCACGAAGGTGCAGCGATTGGTCTCTTACTTTGACGACGCGGTAGTCTCCGACGACGAGGGGGCGGCCGTTGCACTGCCGGCGCCGTTGTTGACGACGGCGAGCGCGACGGTGGCGGAACGCACCGAGGAGAACGGTCTCTTCCCGGCCGCCGCCGCCGCTGCCGTCGTCGCTGCCACTGCCACCGTCGCCGCCGGCGCTGAACGCCGGTCGCCCACCTCGCGTCCCGGAGAATTGCTTTCAGATGGCGTCGAGGCCGGGGACACATGCGGGGTGACGATACCACCGGAGCCGGCGGTACCGTGTCCCCCCGAGCTGCAGGAGAAGATCGCTATCCTCTGCCGGAAGATGGAGAGCGGCGGGCTGGACATGAATTTGCTAATCCAGCAGCGCAAGGATTTCCGGAATCCCTCGATTTATGAAAAACTCATTCAGTTTTGTAGCATCAACGAGCTGGGCACCAACTATCCGCCGGACAGATTCGACCCGTTCAAGTGGGGCAAGGATTCGTACTACGAAGAGCTCGCCAAGGTGCAGAAGGCGGAGATGGACAAGCTCGACAAGGCGCGCAAGGAGAAGACGAAGATCGAGATCGTGTCCGGCACGGCGAAGCGGCCGAACAGCTCGTCCGGCGGCGCCGAGGACGACGCCAAGAAGCGGAAGAGCAAATGGGACCAAGTGGCAACCGGCGGCTCGGCCGCCGCCGCCGCCGTCGCAGCCGCAGCCGCTGCCGCCGCGACGGGTAAGCCCACGGTCCTACTCACCCAGCCCACCCTGACGACGTTCACGTCGTCGTCCGCCACCAAACCCACCGTTATATCGGCCTTCGGCTCGCTGCCGAAGAAGAGATTGTAACATATCGTGTAAAAAATCCACTGTAAATAATTGTTCGTTAAGGTGCATCGTTTCTTACTGCGGGGAGAGAGAGAGAGGAGGTTCTGCGAAGACCTCTTCGGAAACTTAGATCCTTGGATCAAACCGCCGGTTATCACGCGGACGGTGTTTCTTCTTCCCCTTCTGCATCTGAATTTCTACGGAGTCGAGCGAGTTGAAACTCCTTCCTTAAAGGCGAATTCAAGGATTTAAGAGTTCGAGCGAATTTATTTATTTGCCAATTAAATCTATTGTAAAATTATGTTCACATCGCTCTCTGAGTTGAAAGGTATGAAAAGAGCTTTTCAGGCTTTTGTATTTTTCGTAGTTGGAGCCTACTTCCGGGATCTCCAAAACCTCTTGACAAGATTCTTCTCAAACAACGCCAGGTATATCAAATCGATTTGGAGATAAAGATCTGCGCATACATCGAGTTCTTTGATTTCGGATACTTAGATCTCTATTTAAATCCTTGAATCGAACTTTCTGAAATTCCTTCCGAATCTTCTTAACGATAGGAACGATTGAAACGCGCAGAATTACAATAAGTCGAGGAAAAGCATTCGACGCATCTGTGAGTTTGAGAATACAAGGATCTAAGAACGCAGGAACGTAGGTACTCGTATATATTTAAGAACAAATGAGATCTATAACGGTCATAGATCAAAATGCGTAAATATATTGTAAATAATATAAATTTCACAAATATAACTCTTTGTATGCAAGAGACATGAAGGAAGAGAAATCAGCCTCTTGTGAACATAGGTCCTTGGATTGCCGAAGCCTTTTAGAGACTTCCTGGTGCGGGGAAAAAAATCAATCAGACTTGGAGAGACCGAAATCGTAAAGTTTTCAACCACGTTTTCTAAAGATCTAACCGATGAATTTGAAAAGGATCTAAATGATTCGATCATATGCATGATATGCGAGTCTAACGAATTCAATGATTCAAGAATACATTTGCAAATCCAAGAACCTAGGTATTACGAGCCGAGAAATATATCTATGGTAAATAGAATCGACTAGGACTTGGATAATTTTAGAACCTTAGGACTATATATATTATATATATATAAGAACCGACAAATGCACTGATTTTGCAACCCATGAATAATAGATGATAAGTAAGATGATTCATTAAATTTTGATATCGATGAATTTAAATAGTCACTGTTTCGAGAAGCTCCACAAACTTAGGGATTCGTGGAATTAGCTCAAGGAATTAAAAATTCATTGAACCGCGCATACTCAACATGTATGTGCAGAGGGACTTGAGAAACACCCTTAAGAATCGGAATAATACACGAGAGTTCGTATAGGTAAACTCGCAAGTTTAAATTCCACCAATTATAGTAATGTTCATACAAGGAAAACAACACCAAGTGTCATTATTGTGAATACATGATATATATATATATATAAAAGTTTATTTATTAAAATTCAGAAGGAAAAGCTAGCACTTTTCTAAGAAGAATACCTCGATTGAAAACAAACTAATATATTCCTACATGATAATGTAATTCTAATGTGCATACTTTGGGTCTGTTCTTTGTCACTGAACCGGTGCACATTTTCGGAACGTGGAAAGAAACGGATACATATCTGTGATTTCTTGTAAGGAAGAGGGAAATAGAACTAGTGCAAGCTGGTGCAGGGATTTCAGCTACAAAAAACAGACCTTTTGTCACAAATTAACGTAAAAAGATCGATTACAATACGAAGAAACTGCGAAACTGTAGTAGCTTTCAAAAAAAAAGCTGTCCTGTCGATTTGTAAATCGGTAAATTATGCTTAAAATTCTTGCTTCAAGGGATTTTTAAATTCTTGACATTTGCAGCGTGACTGGTGTCTATTTTTTATCGTATATGTATATGTTTACATACAACGTGTACACCGAATTTAGTTAAACTCTTTGTTAAGATAAATATATTGATTGAAGGAAAGGCATTGATGTGGAGAATGGAATAATCGTATTTATTTTAAGAAAAAAAACGGAGCGATAAGCAATTTCGAGTGGAATTACGTTGGTCGATTGGATTTTCCTCTTTCCTTTTTTATCACGACAAGTTCGTATCGTCGTTTTTTTCATACTTAAATAATGAAGGAGATATGCCTGCAAAGTATTACGTCATTTAATCTTCTGTTCACCGTCGTAATAGTGTTAATGGAATTTTATAAGATCTATTTATTGGAAAAACATCTCGTTCGTTTTCCGAGAAATTTCCAAGGAAAAATAAGATATCCGCGAGGTGACAAATATCGTCACAAACAGAATCGCTCCAAAAGTAAAAATTGCTATGTACCGAGTGTTAATTAATTACCGAACATCTGTAATCGTATAATTGCGTAATTATACATGTAATGTTCTAAATCGATTCGTGTTGTAGAGATTTGTAATGCGTCGCAACGGATTTTTTTCTAGCAGGGTCGCATCCTCGCAGGACATGCACCGGTATAAAGCTAGACACGTTAAATATCGGGCTGCGTTCAGCGTCGGCGCTGCATCAGCTCTTTGTGCTGCTTTTCTGATAGATTCTTACGAACGATCTCGACAGATGGGTGCGCTCTGTAATGCGCTGCTGCGTAATCCAGCTTTTTTTTTTAACAAGTTACTTTCAGCGTGCCGGAAAATATATCTTGCTTTGCAAGCGTTGGAAAAAAAGAGAGCACAAACCGCTGAACGCAGCCGTTAACTCCGCGCGTACGCGGGGGGGTATCTGCGATTCGTGTGCGTCAACAATCGAATCGATATGAAACGTGCGCTAAGACAGACCGGATCGTTCATTTTTTTACATGGGAAGACGAAATTCTCTCTCGGACTTTGTATATACACGCTCATGTGTCAATGGAGAACGGAATATACATTATGCAAGTTACACTGTGTACTTTTTTTTTTTTCTTATCGGTTGTAACAGAATAACGATGCTATATACTTCTTGTCTTCGTAATTATGTTTACAGTCCATACTCTGGAATTTAAATTTATCGTTTTCTTTCAGATTTATAGCGGATGTCTAAAAAAATGTACCGCACACACATGTACTTATGTATCTCTTTCTACTGATGGACCTCAATTTTCCTTCATCAACCATTTACATGGATGGTTATTTTAATTATGAATTATTGAAGAGTGTTCCAGCAAAACTTCGTGTTTGGAAAAATAGCCATGGATGAAGAACTTACATATAAAGAAGCCTTTTCATGGTAGCGTTACAGAGCAATCCATTGTCTGCTGATTGGCTCCGACGCTACCATGAATTTGCTCCTTAAAGCGGGGAGCACAAACTTCTGCATAAGTTCTAATCTGCAATAGATGCCCTAAGTCTTATGAAATTAAATTCCAATCACAGTGAATTATTCTCTTCACATTCGACTCCGGTCAATTTCTTAAGGCTCAGAGACCGAAACTTAAGTGCCGGTCTACAATATTTTACGGTTTAAAACACCTTTTGCAGATCGGGATTTACAATTGATTTTGCATTTCTAAAAATGCACCAATCAGAACGATGACCCCGATCGAGTCAGCAAATCGGAAACGCCAATAGACAAGGAAAAAGCAGAATAGAAAAGATGCAATAGCAGAGTGACTAATTGAGTTCCGATCGCGAAAAGCCGAATACTCCCTGTGCACAAGGAAAGCGAAAATCCACGAAACGGAAAAATCCAATTTTCTTCACGATCGATCAATCAACCCTAGTACGCTAATGAGTACAATTATTCAATGAATTCGTCAAGTTTCCACGAAATGAAACGCACATAGTTTCACACATACGAATATACAGCTTTCAGAAAATCCCGGAAACACATACCGCAGAGGAGACCCATGTAACTTTGATAGACCGTAACTCCAGCTCAGATTAATATTTTTCAATGTTAATAATTTTCATGTTCTTTTTTATTTCGAAGCTTTGAGCTTTAGAAATATACCCGAATAGATTCCAATACCGAAAAGTTTCATTTTGTCAAGTTATGAAATTAAAACTAAATATCAAAAATAGAATGTATGGAGCAAACGAAAATTATAGTTGGTCTGCGAGACCCATGATGTATATTTTAGAGTTAGGATAAAGAAAGAAAATGTTAGGTTTTTAAATCTCGGAAAATGCACAAGCTTTGCGCCTAAATATAATATGTCAATCGGCCGTACCGAAGAAGTTAAGAAGAAAGTATAGAAAATTACGTTCCACAAGACGGAATGTCAAAAATATTTATACACAGTTCTACACTCACGGACCGCCGAATAAACACGTCTCGTCAGCACAAGACGAGGAAGAGAAAGCCTCTCTCGGAGCACTACCTCAACACCATAACCTGGCAAATAGAACTATCGATAATCTCGGTCGATTCGATATCGATAGAACTGTCGAAAATTATCGATGTTTCTCTGCACTATCGATAGTTTTGTCGTACATATAGTTCTGAAATTCACTGTCAAAATCGATGTTGCGTATATATACTATAGATTTTCAGTGCTGGCAGCGGAACGCCGACTGATGGCATACCAGTGCGATATCCAATGAGCGTGCAGCTCTCTCTTGAAAAAGTAGTGCGTTGGGCTAGGAAATTTTGCCTAGCCGTCAGATTTTCATTGATTCCTCCAACATTAACAGATTCTCACTTAGGAAGAAATGCATTACCGACTTTAAACCAGCGTCCTTTTACCGAGAGGGGATTCGTCACCTACCCGAAAGATGGCCAAAATGTGTAGATTACTTTGTTGATGATTAAAGTTTTGAGTTTGTATAAATAAACGTTAATTTTCATTGAAAAACGCCGATAATTAATTTATATATTACATATAATAGATTATGTACAATACTCACGAGGAGAAGATTCGCCTTAAACCGAAACGAGCAGTCCCTTTCGAAAGAATAATGAAACGTTCCGCTGAACGAGCGGTCATCCGGCGGAAACAAAGGCAGCGCTCGGTTTGAAACAAACGGACCCGCCTCGAAGAGCTGCGTGTGCGCAGACCCGGTCGGCCATCTAGCGTCGACTCGCTGTTGCGCGCGCGCGCAACTCCGGCCGACAGTGAGCAGCAATCCGCGGCTCTACACGGCCGCGACGAAACCGCTCCCGTGAGATCGATCCCAGCTATGCGATTTCCCGCGGGTCTCGGAGAGGCCTGCTGCGCTTAGGAAACTCTCTCTCGCTTCCGGATCCATAGCAGCGGGTAGGTCACGGCGCGTTTATCAATGCGCGTGCGATAAAAGTCCCCGGCTGGACTCGCGGGAAAGGAGCGGAGCGACACGCAGAGGCGGCGGGGAAGCTGTTCATCGAACGGAACAGCCGCGCGCGCGGCTGATACGGAGACAGAGCGAGACTGTGAGTGAGTGAGTGTTGTACGCTCGGCGAAACGGTATCTCTCTCTCTCGTCTCGGGGAAGGAAGAAGGCGGCGGCTGGCGATCCCTTTGTAGGTAAGTCTATTCCTTCTCCTCGTTCTCGCGCGACCAGAGACGGCGGTACGTGAATGACGTAGCGCGCGAGGGGTGTGTCGCGCGGCGTACCTTAGCACCGCGAGTGAGCGACAAGCTGTCTCTCGCTTCCCTTTCGATCGAAATCTAAATTCGCCCCCGAAATGTCGCCATTTGCATCGCCGTGTCCGAGCTGGTCCGCCGGGAGATCGGAGCGATGGGTGGCGGCGACTCATCGATCAACGGGTTAAACGTTCCGCTCGGCTAATTGTGTGTACGGTCGGCCCGATGATTTGTCTCGCGAGTTTTCGAGATACATTGTTATTTCGATTGATCTCGAAAGAGAGGAATCCGATCTCGGGGAACGACACTCGCGCGGCGGAATGAACTATCGGTCGCTTGATAGTACGTCTTTAATCGTCCAGAACGAAGCGAGTGAACGGCGATCTAGCGATCGAGATGGGGAAAAGGAAAGACGGGAGTCCCAGCGCGGCCACCGGTTCGAACGATTTCTCTCTCTCTCTTTCTCTCGATTTCGAGACGTGACGCGCCGCGCCCGAACGGGTGACACACCATCAATCCCGTTGTTAAAAGTCAACGTGGTGATGCTCTCAGTGCGGTATTATCACAATTGGTCACAATACTACTGAGAGAGTTAGGTCCGCTTATTAGGAAACACCCTGTAGACATTTGCGCGTCCAGCCGTTATCTCTCGGAGAAACTCGGGACATTAAACGGCACAGTTTCTCAGTGTGTGCGAGAGAGAGAGAAATCGTGCGATACAAAATTACGCTCGGTGTGATTCGTGAGTGTGTGCGTATTCTTTTGAAATTGACGATCAATTGTCTCCTTTGTTGCTTCGTTTTTGTCACCGTTATTCCGCTCTCTCTCTCCTAATTGACGGCGCTCATAATCTGTGATTAACCATGACGTCATTGCGTTAAGTGTCGGTCTCCCGACCGATAATAATCTGCGCTAACGTTCTCGTGTATATGTGTGTGACGTCAGCGTTTAAAGCGAAAAATATTCGGCGCGACGCGATTGTTATTGGGTGAGCGGTCAATTAATTGCCTTGAAAGAGCTTCATTACCGCCGGGGCGTTGTTACGTCGCCTGTTGACTTATTGACAGTGTAAACACGAGCCTCGCGATATGCACTTTAATCTCCGTCGATATAGAAGTCGGCGTTGAAAAAAGAAAAGATCGGTCGCAACATGGCGCCAGACGACGCTCTTCAGATTTTAATTAAAAGAGTCACGAAATGTCCCAGATAGAATTAAAGTCGATCTCGACGATATTTCGCGTCCCTCTCTCTTTCCTTCCCCTCTCTTTTTCGCTCGCAGAGGAAGAACGATCGATTCGTACGCTTTGATATGAATCATTCCTGAAAATACAAATAGACCGTGCGAGGTCGAAACGAAACTTTTATACTCGTTGTGCGTAAAACAGGAAATAAAAACACCGAGAGAGTTGGTGTATTTTTCGGATAAACGCGATCCTTACACACTAGAGAGCACGTGTGCGCAACGATTCCGCTAGCTGCGGGCTACGTTGCGTAAGGGGGCCCCCGTCATCATCGTTGATATCACACGAGCGTATAATAACGGTGCTGCCGCCGCCGTTCGTTCGTCCTTTTTTCCCGTCGCGTACCGAAGGGTCTCAACGTGGTTGTTGAGTACAAATCAAACAGGATTAGACGGTGAAACTGATAGCATATAAGGGCTGTTGAATCGATACACTGAGAAGATCCCGTGGGTCTTCCGCTTGGCACATTATTTGCAAACTCGAACGATGCTTCTTTCTCTCTTTCGATGCGACGTGAAATATCGCAACTTTCTTCTCGCAACGCACGGAAAGAATTAACGGGACGATGAACAGAATTTCTGACTTTCGTGGATCACCCGAAATTTTGGCCCTAACTCTACAACATAGCAGGAGTTAAGATAGTAAAACAGGTTTAATTTCAATTCTAATAAACAATATAACCCCTACTTTGACCCTGATAATGTCTTAAATTTCCGTTTTAACGTTAAAAGGTAGCGTTAAAATTCAATCTGTAGAATTAAAGGTTCAAAGAAGAAATTGAAAAGTATCAATATGGTTAAAGTAAGTTTTTAGTTTTATAGGTCGTCTAAGTAGGCGCAAACTTAAGAACGTCAGAGTAGCATCAAAATTTCGGGCAAATTCGATTAGAAGAATTAGAAATTCAATTTTTTTTTTTTTTTCAATCAAGGCTCGTTTGGTCCGTTCATTGTTACGTTAATTCAATTGACATCTTTTTTTTCTGTGCATTTGCAATTATTCCTTGCAGGTGTTTCGTCAACGACGCGCTTCAAAGAGAGAAACAGAGAGGAGTATTTTGACCCATGTAATTTCGTGTTTATCAATAGTAAATTGTAGTTATTATCAAGGAAAGTAGGATCCCTGGATGTGAAGTCGCTCCCTTTCCCCGTCTGCAAATTTCCTCCCGTGGTATTGTACTGTGTTACTGTTTGTTTGATGATCGCTTTTTGACGTTAGAAAACCCATGTTTGATAGTCGAAATTGTAATTTTTACTATACTGAGTAGAAAAGTACTGAAACCGTTCGGGTAATGTTTAATTGATTCAAGTAAAATGGCTTGTTTAGCAGTATTCCTTGGCAAATATTTACCACTAGAAGTTGATCAAGTACAATTTGATATTTCCTTCGCATGAGTAAACTTGTACGCGTTGAAACAATAAGGCGACCAGTATTAAATTCATAATATTGAGAATACTAGAATTGATTTTTAGAAAATATTTTCTGGACAGAAATCTAAATTTAAAGCCTTCAATTATTCAATGGAAAAGAAATGTTACATAATTCTAGTAAATACTCGCTTAAATTTAGAACCATTTTACATTCAGTAATTCATTTGAGAATTAAGGTGCTTATTACTTGGAGAATTCTCGGGGAATTTGTTTATACCTGGAAAAATGAGGGAATTCTCAGGGAATAATATCTTCCAACACGTATGTTTTCAAATATGTAATTCTTAATGTTGTATACAACTTAATATTTGACCTAAGCGTTAAAATAATTCCTCGTTATGATTTAGAAGTATCATATGATCAAGTAAGTAGAGTTAATTTTTTAGATATTACGTCAAAATATTGGTAAAATTCGCATAAAATCAACATTTCGGAAGTTTCTCGCTCACCAATTGGTACGATTCCTTCCTTCCCTTCGTTCGCCTTTGTCGCGCTGTAAGCGTCCAGTCACAATTACCCCGATCATACACACAGTATTCCCGACACCTGACCATACGGAGAAGAAACGCGAAATTGTCGCGCTCGTCCGTCCCTCCCTCACTCTCTCTATTTTAAGACGAGCGAATACTCGGGGGCCTCTCGAGGAGAGCCAGTGAGAGCGCGAGCGTCGTCGACGCGATCGCTTTCATTCAGTTTACGGACCGGCTCTCGTTATCGTCGCGCGATAAGTGAAGGAGAGCGGCGCGCGCGAGATGGGAAGCGTATCGCTGACTTAGAGAGTGCGTCGCAGTGCTCGGGAATATTTCACGCTTAGGTATACGGGGGACGAAAATCGACACCGTAATCACGCGGGAAGAAGTGGGCTAACGAGAAACGCGCGCGCGTGTCCTTCGTCTGCTCGAAAAGTCATCATTGTGCTCGAGCATTCGTTTTTGTGTTCCCTTGTACAATGCGCCTACACGTAACTTCCTCCATCAAGGACGGTGTGTATTTAAATGATCGAGCACCGGTGGGTCGCGCCGACGACGAGATAGGCGCGCGCGTACGCGAGGGACTTAAACGGAGCCACTTGTGCCGAATATCTCAACCCTTTAACGCTAATTACCGTCAATTCGCACACCGAGCCATTCACTGCCGCGCGCTACTCTGTGTCTTTTGCCGGCGTTTCCGCACTCGTTCGGTGCAATATCGTGTTTCGAAAGTGCGCGCGTTATCTGAGAGAACGTGTGTGTGCTCTAACAGTTGGCAGAATTTCAAACACACTCCGCGTTATTTTCGCCTATTAGGCGCGAATTGTTTGCGTGCACTTGTACAGAGGCGTATTTTTGTCGCTGATTCAGCGCGATAAGTATGTGATTCGCGAGTACGCGGAGGAAAAATTGCTACCGTTTCACGTTCTCATACGCACAGTAAGCAAGAATATATGAATTTACATGAAAATAAAAGAATTTTCGCAAACTGAGGGGAGGAAAGATCGGAACGATGTCTTTTCAAACTGATGCGTTTCTTAGTTTGAAGATACCTTCGTTCTTTCTATCTTACATTGTTTCCTCTCAATTCATGAACATTTTTTTCAAATAACATAAGAATGTGGTACTTTTAGTGGAACGATGTAGAATAATTTCTTCATATATAAGCAAATTTTATGTTAATACAAGATTGTATATTCTTGCTTATATGTATAAGATTATGAATCTTCAATTGATATTAATTTTTTTTTTTTCCATGTAAGAACTCGGTGCTGATATATCTGCTGAAAAATCTTTTCCGCTGCTACGACTACACAAGGAAAAAAGTTTCATTGAATTTCGTGTTTGTTCGATTTAGCTTTTCATGTGTATTTTTCATTTATTATTTAATATCAAATATAATTTTATCGTAAACAAAAAATGTTGTTTCCTTAGAGCAAACCATGTTGTTCGAAAACAATATTTTATTGCTTAGAGGAAATATAATATCTGCTTGTTAATAAGAAAAATATGTCATATCAAATATTACATTATATTAAATATTGTTCCACTGAAACAAAGAATAATATCTTTCTAAGTACAGTATTATTTCTTTCAAATAATTAATTTTTTTTACACTTATTACTTGTAACCGCCATTGTAATGTTTGAACGAAGATATAAAAGAAACATGTTATTTGGCGACGAGTGAGAGAGATATTTATTATAGAGGAACCGAACAATTCTGTTGAGTCAAACATACACGTTTGTCTCATTCCAAAGGACAAATTTGTTGTAATTAATAAGATCTTATTAAATCGAAAGAATCTCTGTGTATTATTCGCACTTGTAATAATTCGATTGTTCGCTAAATTGCGCTTTCTCCCAAAAAGTTGATTTCCAAAGCTGATTCTTTAATTAGTACCAAATCTCACCTTTGTAGAAATACCTCGGCAGTATTGATTTAGAGCGGCGATACGTTAGCGAAAATAGGACACAATATGAGAACGTGCATAAAAGGAAACGCGAGTATTAAGGCACGCCGAACGAAGAATTTGATTTTATGCTGCGTAACCCCGTAGTTATTTGTCGCTTCTTCCCCCTCTCTGCCCGTATATCGTAGCGGAAGTGACGCGTCGCTTTTGCAACACTGCAGTAATAGTCGGAAACTTAAGTCGAACTCATTAATCGAGATAGGGAGGGAGAGGCGTGTCCTTTTTTAACCGGCAAAAAGTAGCACATCGACTGTGTTTGTGATTTCGCCATCGGGAATAATTGTTTGATGCTGTATTTAACGCGTCGTATAGCGTGGGCCGATGGAAGCGCGCTGTGAAAAGGTGAAAAGCGACACCGTAGAATAAGGATACAGTGTGAGTACGCGTTGCGTGTCCGATGCACCGGTACTTGGCGTAAGGAAAGCCGAGCGGTGAACGACCGGTGACACAGATCCGAGTTGCGAACGTTAAACAAGTAATAGAAGACTCGGCGTCCCGTTTTCCTATCAATAACGACAGGTGATAAGGACGGCGGGTAATTGCGAGCGGGCGAAACTCGCGAATTAAATGAAAGAATGTGTGGTCTACACGGTAGGGCTCTGCAACTTTATTGATCGGCTATACACCGGCTAAGGTGCCCTACCTGCCGGGTG